TCGAACGGTGCGCCAAGCCAGGGTCGGCCTTCATCGGAGATCAACTTCTTGGGAGGGCCAAAGTGGCGAACCCACATCTTTTCCAGGGCGGTGATGTAGGACTTGGAGGTCTCCTCATGCAGCAGGTAGGCTGCCATGAACTTGGTGCCAACATCAACTATGCTCAACACTGCAAACTTGCGATCGGCTGGCTTGAGGTAGAAGACGTCAGCCTGAAGCACTTCATTGAAGGTCTTGGGCTGTGGCATGGATGATGGAGCAACCTGGTTGGGCTTCTTGTGCTTCAGACATGCCACACACTTGTACTCCTTAGCAGCAGCGATCACGGTGGGATGAGCTCCTCTGGCGGTCAACAAGTCAGCCAGAGCGTCAGGTGCTGGATGACCAAGGTTCCGGTGAAGCCGCTGCACTGTTCGGAGAGCATCTTGTCGGTGCTCTGACTTGAGCTTGAGGAGATGTCCAGTTTCCTTCTTGCCAGTTTCGTCGACCACATAAGCGGTGTCCCACAGTTGAGCAGCTTCGGGACGAGCCAGGGCTGCAGCCAAAGTTGCTGCAAAACCAGGTTGGTAGTCTTCCAAGTAGGTGGTCCGGCGTCCATAGCCAGGAGCAGAGCCTTCTAAAGGGCAGTGGTGGTGATCATGGTCACACTTCAACTGAAAGGCTTCAAGAACAGCCTGCTTCGTGGTCAGCAGGCGAGTGCTCTTTTGGACAGGTCGCCAGATGCCGTCGGTGTCCATGCACATGGCTCCATAGCGGCATTGGTCAAAGTCGGCATAGTAACCAGGAAGATCTCGAAAAGCCGTGGTGTTCCAGCTCAGTGCATGCTGGGGCTGCTCCAAGTGAGCATGCCGTGCACTGGTCACCTGTCGTAGGTAGATGCGCTTGGCAAAGCAAAGATGACGACGATGGTGGTGCTCACGACGGGCTTTCAATGCTTCTTGTTGTGCAGGAGTGCGGCAAGCCAAGGTTTGCATTCTTGACCATAGGCGGCATTCTGGTGCCGCTAACACTTCGTCAGGTTCTTCTTCATCGAGTCGTTGGAGTAGCTGTTGTTGATGGCTGATGAGGTTGAAGTCCCAGCCATTGTCCAGAGAAAACCTTTCCACCTTCATGCCAAGTTGCTCTGCAATGTGACCAGTGCGAGCTTTGCCACAATAGATCTCGCAGAGGACTCGTCGATGGTCAGGAGGATTGTGAAGCTCCTGAGTGATGTAGGCTTCGGTGGAGTTGGATGTCGTGACCAGCTGAGTCTCCATGGTTCGAAGGGCATGTCGATGAAGACGAGTGGATTGCAGTTCACAACCTGACAAGGTCATATCTTCAGCTTGGAACACGTGTTCGAGCTTGTTGAAGTCCTCCTTTCGTGGGGTCAGGCACTTCTTCCATGCCGGTGGTGAGGCTCAACAGGTATTCGCCATGGCTTCCCACAAGCACTGAGGTCCAGGGAGAGCGACCAAAGCGAATGCGCTTCTGGCTGAAGTCGATGCCCATGTGCAAGGCCTCAATCACAGGTCTGCCCATCAACATTGGCGTATTGCCAGGGACCAAGTAGCATTGAATCGTGCCGAACTGGCCGTCGATCATCACAGGAAGGTCCACTGTCCATGATGCTCTTGAGGAAGCATCGCCGCCAAAATGGAACTGGCGATCGCATCGAGCAAAGCGGATGGTGTTGATGGGGTAGTCCATGGAGTGGAGATGGCTCAGGTAGCGGCCAAAGGGACCGTAGCCGCACAGGAAAGCCGATGCACCTGGATCCAACATGGTGGCGTCAGGTCGATCTGTGCCCATCTCATCCTGGAACAGGACCAAGGCGGTCTCATTCTGCAAGGCCATGCCTTCTGTAGGTGCAGGTCTCTTGTTGGGCGAGACTGGAGGCTTCGCACTTTGTGGACATTGAGCTGCCCAATGACCTGGTTGGCCACAGCGAAGACATGTAGTTGCCTTTGCACGACCTTTTGGATCTGACTTCCCACCTGAGGAGGAGGGGTAGCGCACCACGTTCTTTCCTTTTCCTTTGCTTTTGTTCTTGCCCTTTCCTTTGTTCTTGCCAGCTCCCTTCGAAGGTGAAGAGGATCCAGAGGCGGCTGAGGTGTTCTGACCATCAGTGAGGGCGACAATCGGCAGGTAGCCACGAGCCAACTTGAGTTGCTGGAATCTTTGCCGGGCATCCAAGTAGGTGGCATAGGCGTGGTCATATTCTTCTGCCAGCTCTTGAGGATCTTCAGGTGCGTCATTGTGATCACCCGTGTCATCATCGTCGCCGTAGTAGATGGCGTCATAGTCGAAGTCAGCCTCAGCGTCAGGGGCAGTGTCATCATACCAGTCGTCGGCCTCATAGTAGGCCTCTTCCAGCCAAGGTTGCTCGGACCAGTAGGCATCTTCGTCATCGAACGCAGCGTAGCCGCGGCCCTTCCAGCGGTTGAACTTGCGATCACGTTCAGCATTCCATCCGCCAGCTTTGTAGTCCTGACCGAACAACAGGTACAGGGCCTCGATGACTGGGGTCTTTTCCAACGTAGGAGCTTTCAATGTCACCATCTGGCGTTGCTCCTTTGACAAAGCAGCACGTCGGAGTAGATGCCATCCTTGAACCTGACCAGGAAGGGTCACGTTGTGGGCGGTCAAACGACGGTAGGCGGTGTCATGGTCCGTGACGAAGGACAGGAGGCTTTGTTGAGGCTTCCGTTGCAGCAAGTTGAAGTACTCCTCAAAGTCGTTCGGAAGGAGCACTCGATCATCATACTCGAAGTTCTTGTCGAGCTTGGAGATGATCTTTCCGAAGCCATCTTCCTTCTCAGCTTCTTCGACTGTGAAGTCCTCAAACAACCGCCACACCACACCCTGAAAACTTCCCAGGATGTTCAGGACAGATTCGGCTGTGCGCTTGCTGATCTTCATCTTGTGGTGGTAGAGCATCAGCCTCTTTCTATACTCTTTGTAGTCCTGGGGTTGGCCACTGAAAAGTGGAACGAAGGAGTCGCGCAGGGTGGAGTAGTCCCCATCCTTGGAGCTCTCTGCAGCCGATGTCGTTGGTGGCATTCTCGCTCAAGTAGCCAAGACCGATAGGGCTCTTCAACGAGGAAACAAAAGAGCTCGGCCAAGGGTTCGTGACAAAGGACTTATGCAGAACCTCGTTCTTCTTCGCGCAAAGGACTCGGAGCCCCCCGGAGGAGGCTCCGCTACCAATGCGAAAAAGGGAGCACGGCGCTCGAAGTCCGTGAAGAGGTCGAAAACGATGGCGCCGCACGAGGTGCCGCGGCCGCGCCTTTTCTCAAGGCGAACGCCCGCCCGAAGCTCGAGTGGGAAAGCGTCGGGCATGAAACAGTTTGAAAAAGCTGCAACCCTAAGTGCACTGCGTGAACTTTACATTAGCCAAAATGCCTAGCCATTTTGGCTCAAGCCTGGCTCCAAAAGAAAACGCCCGCTTTCGCTCTCCTACTCTCCTACTCAAATAGCCATGGCTGGAACTGGCAACTCTGGAGAGCTTTTTGACTGGGCCATGCTCGATGGCGCCAAGACCGTGACCTCTGTGTGGATGATGCCCTGGCGGGTACCATCCTCCCCAATGATGGCTCGGAGTCCGTGACCTCTGCAGACTTTGTGAAGTGTGAGCTTCTCTCCCCTGAGCACCAGGGCAAACTTTCGGACGTGTGGATGCTATTGTACCGGTCCTGATGGTGCAGGCGCCACACGGAAAGCCAGAGGGGGGGGGTGTTCCTATGTCGTCTTTCCCACCTATGAGGGTGGAGGCCATCGCTACTAGGGTGGAGCATCCCTACTAGGTGGAGGCCATTGCTACCAGGTTGGAGGCATCGCGAGCCCGGTGTGAAGCATTGGGGCTATTGCTGGTAGCGCTCAAAGCACTTTGCTGCTGGTAGCTCCTCCTAGTCCTAGCCCACTCAGCTGGGACAGGCCCCTGGCGCTGAGAACTCACTGGGGTGGAGGGGAGTGTATCATGGAGCATTGCAGCGGTGGCCGCGCAGAACATTTTGCACAGCACAACTCTCCTCTTTGTGCGCTGCCTCTGAGTAGCTTTGTCTTCTTTCCTCTGCGACACCCATGGAGCCTGCCTGGTGTCCAATTTCTCACTGAGTCTCACACAGGACTGTGACGGTGGTGGCGTTCTGGGTGCCATCACAGTCCTGTTTCTATATAAATCATTTTGGAATTCGACTCAAGAGAAATTAAACCAACATGCAAAAGTGCCCGCTGTGCCTGCACTCTTCCGTTGGTTTTTTGGACTTGATGTCCAAAGAAACTACTTGTGTTACAACCCCAAACAAGTTTCAAGCCACACTTCAAACTCCTTCTGGTTTTTGACTTGAAATCTTCTATTCAGTTTTCCAACGTTTTGTACTCCTTGCTTAACTTGGGCTGCTGGTCGCTCTCAATCGAAAAAGACGTTTGTGGTAGCTAGTTTATACTGTTTATACTTTAGACAATGATGTTGCTCCTTGCAAAATAATGTTGACTTCCTAATAGTAAATGGCCCGTGAATAGTACTAAATCTTTTCAAAAATCAATTGTAAATGGCCCTCAAATAGTACTAAATGTTTTCTGGACCTTGATTTTCAGCTGCTTCCAGACCTTGATTCATCCAAGCTGATTCTGAGCTTTCCTTTCATTGTCCTTTCCTTTCCTTTCCTTTCATTGTCCTTTCCTTTCCTTTCCTTTCCTTTCATTGTCCTTTCCTTTCCTTGCCTTTCCTTTCCTATTCAAATCAAGATTTTCTAGGATTTTTTCTGGAAATCACATTATTTGGGGCCCACACTTGATCAAGGGGGGGGGGGGCGGGGGGGTTTATTAATAAGAGGCCCACATTACGCAGAGTGACGCGAAAAACAACGATCCTACTTCCATGCCTGAGATACCAAACTAGCAAGGACGCTGGCAAACTGCAACTCAATCCGTTTTTTTATGTGCAGCTTGGCTTGTTGAAATTTGTCAACCCTTTGCGCGGCCACTTTTCATTGGAAAAACATTATGAGTCAGCCCAGGCCGGCTTGGGACCGCATGGTGGCAGCTTCTTGCCAGCAACTCAATACTGATGTGCAGTTCAGGTGTGTGGCTAATTCATAGAGGACGTGTGCTTTGTCAGGAGCTTAAGAAGATTCAGCACGTTTGTGAGATTTCCCAGACACAGTTGAGCCCATCGATGTTGTGTTGCCCTTCCAATTTTGCAGGAACGTAGCTACTGTATGCTATTGTTTCCTTGATTGTGCTGAGAACAGTGAACCTAATAGGAAACATTTCGGGATAGTGGCCCTTGAAGATGAGCCTTTTTGCCTCCGGCCATCCACATGACTTCAATTCAAGGAGGAGGCAGGCAATGGTCTCTTGTGGCACCTGGCACAACATAATTCTTTGTGAGAAGACAAAACTAATGCAGGTCTATTCTCATTTCTCTTGTGCTTCTTCACAGGGGGGTTGGTGGCAGCTTCCTGATGACCAATGGCGTGCAGGGCTAAGTAGCCTCTGTATATTGCCGTACCTTGCAGTCCACAATTTCACTAATCTGTCCACAGAGAAGTTTGTTGCATTGTAGAAACTCATGTCTGCTTCCCAGAAACGTGAACAAAAATCCAATGAATGAACGCAAAACTCTTAAATGAAGCAAAACATCACTGCATCACCTTCATCACCTTCATCCTGAGCAATATTTGAATGATGGATGAATGTTTTCTGTGTTTGTATCTTTTTTCTCAGATGCGAAGCTCTTGGGGAAACCTTCCCCGAACTGGCAGCAATGCTTGGCGGCTCAGAGTGCGTAGACCGGCGGATTTAAATTTTGTTGACATACGTTTTGTAAACCAAAACATCTTTCCTTTTTTTGTTTTGTTCAGCTGCAAAAGAAGGGTATATACCTCGGAACTTGTTTTTCAGCTTTGAACTTTGTCTTCCTTTTGTTTCGACTCTCCTGCACACACTTGCTTGCAAATCGCTTTTTATGCTTCCTTCAACATACTTTGCCAATTCTCAATTCTCCAGAAATAAGTATGTGTCGAGTGTGGAGGCTTCATGTCCGACTGCACATTCAAAAAAAGACCTGCTTCAATCTAGAGATCTTTTCCCACAACGTCCGAGGTCCAAGTGGGGATGCCTCCGATTCCAACGATTGGCATGATCCTCAGAGAAATAGCCTAGTTCTGTTCGTGCTAGAAGCCACTTTAAACATAATCTAGCATGTGGCTGTTGAACTGTGAAGCCTCTACAGGGGGACATGCTTTGTCATGAATTAGCCCATGTTGTTCATTTGCAGTCAAGGATTTGGCCTCCACACAGGGCTTCTTGCTGGGGCATTTCTTGAGTCATGAGGGCTATTCTCATTCAGTTTAGTCATGCTGAGGCTGAGACCAGAGCCATGAAAAGCCGAGGAACTTCGGCTTATATAATTGAATCAACACCGTCAATCTGAACCGTGTGGCAACGCCGTGAGTTGCCGCAAATTTGATGCATGTTCGACGCGTGTCGTGTTTAGCGCATATGAACCCCTTTGCAGTGCATTCTTTTGATGCTAATGAACTTGATTGGTGCCAGTTCTTGACTAGAGCATTCTAAAGCTGTTTCCAAGTCCTAGCCGCATGGGGATCATGTGCCTCTTTACACCGATAGCACAAATAGCTGCATTAGGAGGTACCACCCTGGTACAAGCCTGAGAGATTCCTGCAAGCTTTTCCAAGACACAATGGCTGGAACCAAGAGCCGTTCTGGCTGTGTCAGGTCTCCATGTTAACCAAACAATGTGGATGTGACAGATTTGATGCGACCATCCCACTTTGCATTTCGGTTTTGTCAACGAAACTTTCAACATACCATACCAATCCTACATATATATATATATAATCATATAAATACCAAACACACCATTGGAGTCGTTTTGACTGCTTCATAAACTGATACCGAGTATCTCTCGCAAAGGGTTCATGGTGACAAAGATTGCGTGCCAGGATTCCGGGATTCATGTAGGGCTGACCTCCAAAATGAGCAGAATTTGACACACACACACAGAATTTGAAAGCGTGGGGTTGCAAATGAGCTCCGTATTGAACCGTTTCAAGCCCAGCCATTACCCAAGCAAATTGGTCAGGAATCAATCCTAGGGCCTTAGGGCGAGTGGACAATCATGTCGTTTGATTGCTCTCACTTTTGCAGCCATTCCCATAGGCACACTCCCAGAAATGTTTGATGTTTTTTTGCGTTTCAGTTGTGAAACCTTAACACGCTTCTTTGTCCCTTGTTCCTTGATTGTCATTAAGAGGCGCCATCTACGATTCTTCTATGAGCAGCTCTCATTGGATTGCAACATTTGGCTCATCTAGTGCGAACATCCCGAAAGGGGGAAACATTGATTTTCGATGGCGACGGCAACCATGCCACTTGGCTGCCATAAATCTTCAACGATTGGTTCAACTAGTAACTAGTAGAAGAGAAGAGCTATTAGCAGCTATTTAGCTCTTTGGCATGTGGCAACATTTTGCCAGTGTTATGACTTGACACGAGCCAGGACGGTGGCACCGCCGCCAGTTCCAGTTTACAGCAAGGATGGCCTGTGCACAGGCTTTGGATGGTGGACGGCTGGTGGCGCGGAGTGGTCCCTTGAATTCGTAGAAGAGCTTTTATTTAGAAGCATTGAGTGCATTGGTATTCTGACATATTCTGGAAGCATGGCTGATGGTGTGAGCTGCAGACAGAATGATTATCACATTCTTGACAGAGTCTTCTTGAATGGATCTAGGACTCCAGCATTTCAAAGTATTGGAAGACAGAATAGTGTTTCTTCATCTAGGGTTGGAAAGACGAACTCGTGAGCAAGATTCTTTCAAGATTGCCTTTTCATTGATCTTCGTCATCCAATATTGCCTGACAGGCACTACCGGAAGGGTTGTGCTGAATGTGTGCCCCGATGGCCATTTGCTGATTGACAAGGTGCGCTGGCTCCATTGCTTGCTGTTCTTTTCTCGTTCTGCGCACTCTCGATAGGAGGTACATACAGTCAGCTAGCCAGCTGAGTGTAGCAAGATTGTTGGCTGTGTCGGCAGAAACACTGCTTCCTGTAATTGGATGCAGCTGAACTCTCCATAAGACTGACACATCAGATAGAAGGATGGCCCAATTGGGGCCAAGCTGCCGGCCATTTTCACAGCATAATTACTCAAATTCTTCCTTCTTCCATGAGTTGCTACTCTGAGTTTAGTGCGAAGTAAGGTGGTTACTGGTGGCCTTCTTGGCTTCAACTTCAAGCGCTGCGTACGCTGCAATGATCAACTGAAGACCGAAGCTGGGCTGTACTCGTTGGCTGAGTCCCATACATTTTAATATTTGGAAATGCCTTAGAGATGGTCTAACGCTTCTCACTTTATGTTTTTTAGGTCTGTCACGAGTGCAGGATCTAACCAGGCCTATACTACGGATGCATACACGCATGCATCTAGATTGCCTAGATTGCTATGTATCACATTATGGTATTATGTATCAATGGAAAATAGCTTGCCTTGTAGAATAGGGTATTTTTTATCAAATCCTTCCAGATTCTTGCATGTAGTATAGCTTTGTTTCGACTACTTGTCTAGTAGTAGCTATCGTACACCTACCCCCTGGCCAACATACCTCACCCTCAAAAACATGTAGAGGGTTTTGTGTTGGTACACGTTATGACTGGAACAAAGGCCTCCTGCCCTTGTGTTTACTGAGGGCGTTGTGCGGCATAGCTGCAAGCTTTGTGGCTTTCACCTTTGTGAATCGTGCCTTTGAAGCGACGCAGTAAGCCTGAGAAAGGTCACAAGTTTCAAATATTCATTTGGACAAGTACAGCATGTCATTGAAGGATAATTGTGCATTTGTCAAAGGTTTCGGAGAGCACTGTAGATGATCTTTGCTATTGTAGAGGTGCTGGTCACTGTGGATGGCGCGCGACGCGCCGAAGACGTTGCTGACGGGCGCAGCGCCTTGCGGTTGCTCAACTTGGTCGACCCCGACAAGGTCCACGCCCACCACCAGGTCCACCCCAACGACACGTTCCTCGCCTGCCAGGCTTCGAGAGAGAGAGAGGCTTTGTTGCGGATGGACATCTCGGTTGAGTTGCATTTGAAGTCGGGATGTGCAGAAAAGAAGGATATCGTTTTTTGATTCGAGAAGTCAGACCTCTTTGAAGACTAACGAACAGAATGCTGGGCTGTTTGAGCAGGAAATACCCTGTTTCGGCAGAACAAACAGGTTTGAGTCGTGCTTCCAGGGGTTGAAGGTGATGGTTTCCTTCACGCTATGCCTCTATGTGTTCTTAGCACAAACAGTGCAAGGGCATTCCCTGTGCAGGGCGAGCAGCAGTGCCAGTGTAGCTACGAAGATGGTGCCCGCATGCAGGGGTGCCAAGAAACTGAAGATGATGCCACCGTGATCCTTTGTGCTTTTAATCACAGAGGGTTCTATTTATACAGTACTTACAATGGCATGATTGGGAGGAACGTGGGTGCCGGGACATGTGCTTAGGAGTTTCTCAGTTTCTACCCATGTTTTGTGACAGACATTTTTGAATGAAGGAGGGAGGTAACCATATACCAATACGTTATATACTTCAGACTGCATGCTGCATGCTGTGGATAATCTTAGTTCAGGTACTCAGGAGTCTTGGTATTCCTCAGTCCTAGGAATATGAATACACAGAGGGGCTGGCGAGAATCTTACTTCTTAGCTCTTAGTTCCCAATTGTTTTAGACACTTAAAGCGTTTGGAACTCTCCACAAACACAATGCACAAACTTTTTCTCGTATGTCCTTCGATGTATCTGGAGATGTGTGCATTACCAGCGATTCTTGAAGAGCGGTCTTTGAAGCACTTCAGTTCAGCGTCCAAAGTCCGGTCTTCCAAGATCCGAGCCGTCCACATGCAAATGCTCCTTATGCTGAAGACCCAATGCAAAGCAAGCACTTCAAGATGTGACTAGCGCACGATGTTTTGCGTTTGCTGGCTCCGCCCCAACCTGTTTAAGGGCAGCCGTCAGGTTTTGATTTGGCATCAGCGCCGGACATTTGGGCGCTTCATTGCTTTTCAATCTGGTCTCCACGATTCAACCGTAGCCAAACATCGCGCACAGATCACATCTTGAAACTCTTGCTTTGCACAGGGTCGTAAGCACAAGGAGCAGTTGCACTGACAAACAGCTTGGACGTAAAGATCGTTTGGTCACGCACTGAACCGGAGAGCTCTGCATCTACCCCTCTCGTCCCCAATGCCGACAGGCATTGGTTGAGCTAGATGCGATCCTTCAGGAAACGCCAGATGCAGTCTGACTTCACTGTCATCGCCGAGGGTTCGTGGCTTCATCTCCACCAAGCCTGGTGGGCCTCTTCCAACGGGCCATGTCGGTTCATCAGCCCTGCATAGCAGTATTATGCCATAGGGCCATATGGGCCATAGGGGCGAAGTCAGAAAAGGATCTCTGACAGCCATCTGCACACTTCTGAAAGAGGGCTTCTCGGGCCGGGGAATGCATAGAGACGCACACACACACACACACTCCAGATAGGTAGTGCGTACGGAGGCCGCCAAAGCCTAGAAGAAACCTTGGTGAAAAAAGGGCCTGAGTTAAACCAGATACGATGCAAGGAGGTCCAAACCTCAAGAAAGAAGTCTCCACAATTCTCAAATCTCAAGTTAGGGGTCTCCACCAAATCTCAAGTTTCAAGTTTCCAAACTCCAAGTTCAAGGTGCAAGCTCCAAAATCACGACAATCGTTGACCGCGCGGCGAGTGCACATCAACTAAAACAACATCAGCTACGTGAACCAGATACAAACCAGAAGACCACAGCAACCAATCAACAGTTTAACCAAAGCAGGTACGTTTTCACCTCCCTGCGCCGGTCTTCCTTGGCCAGGATGCGAGCCAGGGAGTCCTGGCCCCCTGCTATTGGAATCGAAAAAGGCAACCGTGAGTCCAGGGTGTACACACGCCTCCTGAAGGGAGGCAATAAATAGTACAGCCTCGATCCTGACCGAAAAGGAGGCACCTCTATCCTGCCTGGAAAGGGGGTTGCGAGAGCACATGTGCACGCAAAAGGAACAAACGAACGATGAGAAAGACAGGACAGACAAGAAGGTGTGCGGATGCCAATGACGGAAGAACCAGTTGAAGAGGGACAACCGATGAAGCCAAACCTCATTGGAGCCCCGTATCGCACTGATTCAGTTGTGTGCCGAAAGCTCCGCAGGGGGGAGAGTCTTTCGAAAACTGTCGCATTGGGTAGCTCCGGCAAGTGGGAGTTACTTGGTTGTTGGAACGAGTGTGCTTCAATCCCTGACGTTTCTCTTCAGGCCACGGTTGACAGTATGGTGCCCAGGGCATAGCACTGTTCCAACTGCTTACGTGGCCACCATTTGCGAGCACGTGAAGGAGAGGATGGACAGGCCCTGGTTCGCAAGTTTGTGGGACTGGCCCCAGACAGGAGTGGACCTTACACGCTCATAGTGCAGGGTACCCTGCGCCGCGGCTTAGCCGGTTCGAGCTAGTGTCCCTACAGTAGGCTGTGGAAGCGGCGTGAAGTCAATGGGTGGCATTGGATCTCCTCGAACTTCCGGCGTTTCTCGCAACGATCAAGTCAATACATAGATGGCTAGTTGTACGCAGTACACGGCTTGTCACGTAACGATCGGTAGCTCCGTGGCTCCATACCACGTTCAAGTGGTGAGCGGGGTCCAGCTACGCCGCCATAGAGGCCCGAGAGGACTGGGCCTTGGTGGAGGCGAAAGCCAACCTGACGGAGAGCGAGTTGGTGGCGCTCCGAAAGTCAGGTTGGACAGTCACGAGACTGGCGGCTTTGGTAGATGACGAGGCATCAGCTCTCAAGGCGGTCTTGTGGCGACTACAGCAGCAAGAGGATGAGGTCACCCTGGACGAGGACAGGCTGGCAGAGTTGGTGAAGGTATGTGCGGCTTGTGCGCAGACGAGGCATCAAACAGATGCGAAGAGGGGGTCGCAGGACCTGATGGACGCACACGTGGCACACGAAAGAGACCTACGTCGCGCACCTTCCACGAGATTCAGCGGGCGGAGCAGGCAGAAGAGTTTGGCATTCATTTCGAACTGCATGAAATAGACATACAGAATTCACCGGATTGGGATCTAGCTGACAGATCCCTACAGAAGAGGTCGCTCAGCGAGCTAGCAAATGGGCTCTATCATGTCGTCCTGATCACACCACCCTGCTCCACTTGGAGCAGGGTTCGGGGGGCAAACTGCCGAGGACCACCACCTATTCGCTCCAGGGAGCATCCCTGGAGCTTTCCATGGCTCTCCAAGCGTCACCAAAAGGACGGAGACCTGGGCAGCGCCCCCTCAAGTGCTGGAACAACATCCTTTCACACAAGACAACACCCTTGTGCTGGTCTTTGGGGAGCATCCAGAAGATCTGGGCGCCATCTGGCGTGAGGAGGATGGCATGGAGATGGTTCCCGCGTCGATCCAGAGCTCAAGCAGTGTGCTCGGGAAGCAAATCCATTGGCTTTGTTCACAGTTGCCTTCAATCAACGTTGTTGGGCGGCTCCGTATCGGAAGCCCACCAGGTTGATCACCAACCTGCTGCCATTGAAAGCCTGGGGCCCTCACTTATGGCCTCTCCACGACGACGCGTGCCGCTACTTGGGTCCCGCCAAGGATTTGTGTCATTGTAACCCCCAGGTTAGCCTGGCAAGAACCCCAGAGGATGATTCTTTTCGTACTACTGCCACCTCCAGGATCGAGCCATTGCCCAGGCTATCTTGTCACATCCCTCTTCACCTAAAGAGGGGGCTGCTGTGAAGAGAGATGGGGCTCAGGTGGGGGAAGCAGAGACAAAGAAGAGGTTCAAGAGCGACAAGGGCAGTGCAACATTGAGCAGCAATGCGGGGAGCAGTGCAGCATTGAACAACAAGGCGTTGAGCAATGCAACATTGAGCAACAAGGCATTGAGCAGTGCAACTGGTGCAGTGTCGAGCAGTTGCAACATGAGCAGCGCAACATTGAGCAAGAGCAGTGGTGCATTGTCGAGCATTGATGGCAAAGCAGTGTTGTGCAACAGAACAGCATTGAGCAGTGGAGGAGCTGGTTGGGCAGGTGAATCATCTCTCAGTGGACGAAGGTATGGAGGTGAAGTACAAAGGTGAGCTCAGGTCAACCCACGATGGCGCTGGGTTGTGTTCACTGGGAAGATGGCCGGTGGGCAGGAGGACGGCGCCCTTCACCGAGGACGGCAGAGAGCTGGCTAGATGGTGCTTCAGGGCCTTCGAAGACTGGATCGAGCTGGAAGGTGAGGAGAGGGCCAAGAGCCTGTTTGGGCAGACGGCAGCTGGCCGCATTCGGATTACTCCTTTCCGGGGCGAGATCTATGGCTTCAGGGACAGGCTGGACCTATGGCTTCGAGAGCGAGGGGAGCGACCTGACCGAAGGCCAAAGGACAGGTCCACGCAGATCAACTTCAGGAGGTTGATGGCGGTTGCATCCGATTTCCTGGAGGGTGTGGCCGAGAAGGGGGTCCCCTTACTCGTGGACGAGGTCATGCCTCGAAACCCGAAAGTGTATGAGGAGAAGGTCAAGTGGACTGTCGATCAGACTGAGCAGAGAACTACAAGTCGGCGGAAGAGAACTCTGTCGACGTTGCGAGGCAGGTGCTTGAGGAGGTCCTGCGGATGTCAAGGGAAGGCTCGCGGTGGCAGCGCTGGGAGCCGTACCCAAGGAATTGGGCACCTCACGGGTCAGGCTCATACATGACGGGACCTATACGGCGTGGACGTGAACCGCAGGATTCGGGTTCGCGACCGGATGAGGTTCCCTTCATTGATGGCGCCGCGGCTGTCCTCCGACAGGTGGCGCTGCAGAAGGAGGAGGGTAGAGAGGTGGTGCGCTTCTCCGTCCTCTACGACATCGCTCATGCACACAAGCTGGTACCTGTGCAGGAGGAAGACTGGGGCTTCCAAGCTTTTCGGCTGCCGGGGGAACCCACAGGTCACATGTACGTTCACACTCCTGGAACCTTCGGCGTTGCGAGTGCAGCTTACTGGTTCGGCCGGGTCATTGGCGTCGTGGTTCGTTGCTGCCATCGCATCATGGGCAGGCACATGGGGCTGCTACATTTGATCTACGCCGACGACGGCTGGCTGACTGCAACAGGGACGAGGTTTTGGAAGAAGATTCTCATGTGGTTGTTCCTCTATGAACTGCTGGAAACACCCATCACGTGGAAGAAGGTCCGTGGCGGAGCAGAGGTCGACTGGATAGGATACCATCTGGATGTGGCTAGCTTTGCCACGGGCATCAACGAGTCCAAAAGAACCTGGATCTTGAGATGGGTAGACGACAAGCTGAAGCAAGGAGGAGTTCTAGGCCGAGAGCTGAAGTCAGTGCTGGGCAGGCTTTCTTTCGTGGCGGGGGCCTTACGTCATGTCAGACCTTTCTTGGCCCCATTGTTCGCTTGGTCTTCATCGCTGGCGGGGGCACCTTCGCCAGGTTTCCTGACGCTGTGGTGATCTTGCTGGAGTTTGTGGGAGAGGAAGTGGCTCGAAAACCTGTCAGGTCGTTAGAGCCGTTGCTGACCAGTCCAACCGATATCTTTAGGGTGGACGCCAAAGCTGCGGGGGAAGAGATTGTCATCGGCGGTTGGGAGTCTTGGGGGGGCGTATCGCTGTCCGACGCTCGCCGGTTCTCCTTCAAGCTCAATCGTCGAAACGCTGCATGGGCCTACCTAAAAGGTGATCCCTTCAGATCGATTGCTACATTGGAGCTCATTGGCGTGTTGTCAGCTGTCATGGTGCTAGCGCCTGGTGCGAAGTGGGCAGAAGGTGACTCCACGGTCACCCTGACTGCTCTCACCGACAATCTTGGCAACACGCATGTACTGAAGAAGTTTAGTAGCAGCCGCTACCCCCTCAGTATCGTGGCGATGGAGCTGGCTACGCAACTGGATCGCAGAGGGATTGAACTTGATTTGCAATGGGTTCCACGCTGGCAGAATCAGGAGGCAGACGACCTTACAAATGAGCGCTTCGATGACTTCAGCGAGGCGAACCGCATTGACGTTCAGTTCGAACAGCTGGAGTTCCTGGTCATGGGAAAGCTTCTGGAGAAGGCGGGAGAGCTAGATGCAGAGCTCCGCCTGCATAAGACTTCGAAGGAGGCCAAACAGGCCATGGAGAGAGCCGGAGGCGAGAAGGTCAAGAGCAAGAAGGGTCAGCTTTGATGGCAGGATCCTTGGTGAAGAAGGCGGGGTCGTGTCGATGGGTTTTCAAATATTCTTCACGTAGGAATAGTCTAGCGAAGGGTGGGGTAACGCGGACCTCACTGTAAGAATCTAAAGTGGGGGGAAAGTACAGTGAGAACACGGTCTAGCGCACCATGTTAGAGGGTCGTGCTAAGAGAAGCCGTGGTCACTGTTCACTGTCAGCTGATGAAGCAGCTGGCAGGGTGTCTCACGTGCCCGACAGGTTCACTTGCGCA